CCATAAATATCAAATACAAGATGTATATAATACCTAACTTTACCATCTTCTGGTATAACTTGTTCCATAAATATCAAATACAAGATGTATATAATACCTAACTTTACCATCTTCTGGTATAACTTGTTCCATAAATATCAAATATAAGATGTATATAATACATAATTTAACCATCTTCTGGTATAACTTGACCTTTATTTTTGGTAGGCCAGAATGGTCTGGTAATTTCTTCAGGATACAACACAACACATATTCTCCCTATTCTTGATGGCAGACCAGTTCCTAGGGAAGTTCGTCGTATTAACATTGGTGGAAGCCACATGACTTCGTATTTACACAGGTTACTACAGCTAAAATATCCTGCACATTTTTCCTGCATCACTTTAACTAGAGCTGAGGTAAGAATTTAAGAATAGGATTTAAACTACACTTAAAATTTGTGTAGGATTTTGACTAAAGGAATATAAAATATTTTAGTCATATATATAGTGTTCTAGTCATATTTATAGTGTTCTAGTCATGTTTATAGTGTTTTAGTCATGTTTATAGTGTTTTAGTCATATTTATAATGTTCTAGTCATGTTTTTTTTCAAGTATGCAATTATACTTTTTGACGGGTGAAAATAAAGAATATTTAATATTCTAGAATCAGTTACATTTTCCGAAGCTTTTCAATTAAATGGAAACATTATATTTGCCGTCACAGACATTGTTCGTATATTAGATGTTCTGAGATGTTCCACTTGAACTGGTTCAAGTAATCGTATACATTTTCCTTCCTTATCTGACCATATCTGGAGACTTAGCTCTGCTGTGTTGCTTAATGTTCATTAAAAAGTAAACAGGAGACTTAGCTCTACTGTGTTGATTAATGTCCATTAAAAAGTAAACAGGAGACTTAGCTCTGCTGTGTTGATTAATGTACACTAAAAAAGTAAACAGGAGACTTAGATCTACTGTGTTGATTAATGTCCACTAAAAAAGTAAACAGGAGACTTAGATCTACTGTGTTGATTAATGTCCATTAAAAAAGTAAACAGGAGACTTAGTTCTGCTGTGTTGATTAATGTCCATTAAAAAAATAAACAGGAGATTTAGATCTGCTATGTTGATTAATGTCCATTATAAAAAGTAAACAGGAGACTTAGCTCTGCTGTGTTGAAATTTTTTGGAACTCTCCAGTTCAAGTCTATTACAGCTTTTACTAAATATGTTATTTTTTAACATGTTTAGGATTTTCTCCATAACCATACTTACATTGCTGAAAATTACCATGACGAGTTGAAGAAATGGATAGATCCCGAATTTTACGAGAATAATATTCACCGTATACAGTTACCATACACTCCAGTAGGTGACTTTTAATGTCTTTGACACATTTTGAATTTGTCAAGAAATAAGTTTTTTTTGTATTAAGCAATTATTTTATCTTTCTGATATGTTTTTGTAATGCTCTGTTGCAACTACAAAGCTGTTTGAACAGTGTAGAAAATGACATAAAAGAGCTTTGTGATTCATTTATTCGTATTTACTTGTCTGTCACAAACCTTGATCAGTGATTGGTCAAAGTGGTATTCCAAACTCACAGGGATAAAATTGGGAGATAATGTGCTTAGGATATTCCCTGTGAATGTGGAATACCATTTTGACCAATCACTGATCATATACCCCAGTGTTTTCTTCATTGTAAATAAATATAAATAACCTTATAAACTATAATATTTTTTAGTAGTGTTATCTCTCACACTTGTTGTACTTCTAAGCCTACCAGTGAACTTATAAACAGTAAATAACCTTATAAACTAAAATAGTTTTTAGTAGTGTTATCTTTCACACTTGTTGTACTTCTTGGCCTACCAGTGAACCTATAAACAGTAAATAACCTTATAAACTAAAATAATTTTAGTAGTGTTATCTCTCACACTTATTGTACTTCTAGGCCTACCAGTGAACCTATAAACAGTAAATAACCATATAAACTAAAATAATTTTTAGTAGTGTTATCTTTCACACTTGTTGTACTTCTAGGCCTACCAGTGAACCTATAAACAGTAAATAACCTTATAAACTAAAATAGTTTTTAGTAGTGTTATCTTTCACACTTGTTGTACTTCTTGGCCTACCAGTGAACCTATAAACAGTAAATAACCTTATAAACTAAAATAATTT